GTAGAAAAAAAAAAAGAGAAGGGGGGGGGGGGGGGGGGGGTTGGGGGGTTATCACTAAGAAAAACCTGTTTTAAACTAGAGGAAAAGCAGGCTGCCAAGGTCTGCTCTGATAAAAAAAAGCTGCGTTTTCCATGGCTCTGTTGTGAGTTTTGAAAGTAAATTTCTCCACAGTGCCTATAGCTGCAAAGGTAAATGTTTGGTGGGTGCGGCTGGTCTTGTTGATGTGGCAGGTGTTATTGGAACAAAGGTTTTTCATTATTATGTATTTATTCTTGCTACTTTTAGAAACTTTAGCAAAAAACTGTTCACTCTGTGCAAAACCGATAAATGATATGGAGTTAACCTTTAAAGCGCTAACAATAAATAGCTCAGTGGTTGCTTCCTCTGACCTTCACACCCCTACAGAACACAGTAGTGATGTGGAGTTCAGGGCCGATTTCAGAAAGACTTTGTGGGACGATTCCTTTTGAATGGAGCAACATTTGTCGGCATGGAACAAAGAAAGGCGAGTATTTATTCTCGTTTTCAGTTAAAAGGGTTTTAAATACAGGTAGCAGGTTTTTTTACTTTTTAATGTCTGCAAAATGGTCGCTTTAATGCCTTTTTAACCCTAAGTTATAAGCTTTCAATTATTGCATGCCCCCATTAAAAATTGATGTTAAGGACTTAAAATGTTTTTTTTTTGTGTGTGATTTGTCCCAGGGGTCTCTTTCTACCTGCCAGCTGTCTGAACCTTTGCTATGGTTCATTTTAAGAGTTTTAGACACAAGTGAGGCCTTGAAAGCCTTCCATGAAATGGGTAAGTGATAGAAAGTTGAATATTTAGAACAAGCTAACCACTAACCACCATACATCTTGCATCAAACCTAAATTTGAGTGTATATTTACTGTTTGGTAAACCCAAAAGCAAAAATTTTATATTTTGCAGCTTACCAATTGTTATATGTGGTCGCTGCATTAGCTTTCTTTTTATACTTTTATTTTATTTTTATCTGATCATTTGGCCAGAAAGTCTTTTACTTTTCAATTTTCTTAGCACTGACGGGTGTGCTTTTATCCATTATTATGTAAAACTCTTCCCTAAAGGGAAAAAAAAAATTGTTAATTGCTTAAAAAGTGTCAGCTGGAGTTGAGCTTTTAATTTGTTAGCCTGGTCCATCTAAATTTGTTAGTGCATCTAAAGCTGCCCACACACCTTACAATTTATCTGCAGATTTTCTGTGGTCAGATGGAAAAGGTGCAACAGATTCCTCCATCTACACTTAACTGTGAAGATGGAGTAATCTCCCCCTGGGCCAATCTGTTGCACTTTTTCCATCTGACCACAGAAAATCTGCAGATAAATTGTAAGGTGTGTGGGCACCTTAACAATGCCCTCTCCACAAGCTGACAATGCCGCTATCCAAGAGTGGAGCCACCATCACACAGGAAGTGTGTTACTGACTGGATTACCAGGTAAAAAAAAGCCCAGAAACTAAAGAAAACGAATGCAGCCAGCACATTTTAAGAATTTGTATGCAGCAGTATATTACATATTTTGTTTTTGGGTTTAGAGATGCTTATTTGTTTACTATAAAATATCCCCATGTTTTCCTCTTCATATAAATATGAAATGCGTTGGACAAAAATTCTGCTGTATTTTATCCGTAAGTAGAGCAATAGTCTGAAGTATAGTGTGCGCGCTCTGTGGCAGTAAATGGATTGTTAATTTTCTTAAAAGAGAACTATGGGGCAAGTGTTTTTCCCCATAGTTCTCTTTAGGGTCACGGGAGGACATATACTAACCTCCTACCGTGACCCAAAGCTTAGTATATTGCGGGCTATAGCCCACGATATACTGCAAGCGCCACAGCCGGGACGGATCCCTACAACACTGTCTAGATCCACCCAGCTGTGTGAGTGACAGCGGGCTCTGCCTATTTAGAGTCAGAGCCAGCTGCGCCCCCGTCTGTTCCTCCAGTCAACACTGGAGGGGGGGAGGATTGCTTCCCGATCAATAGAGCCAACCTGTGACAGCTTCTTTGTCACAGGTCGGCTCTAACTATGAGGACGAGTGGAAATCATTCCACCTCATAGTTCGCCTTTATATGTATTTACACTGAAGATATCCACCTAATGCAGAAGTTAGAAGCTGCATCTATAGGTAATATACAACTGTACAAAACAAGCACAAAATGTTCAGCTATAAATTGATTTGTGTGGTTAGACATAGAGGCTGATCTCTAAAGATTGGAATTAAAAGTGAAACATTGGCCCAGACCTGTCTGCTAGATTTATTTTGGTAAATGGTACAAGAAATGTAGCCAATTACTCTTGGCATTTGTTTTTCTTTGCCCTCTGTGTAAATTGGTACCACAGGGTCTATAGGTCTTGCGTGGTGTCCGCTTTAAAGTGTTGCCTTTAAAGCGGACACTGAATGAGTGTGTAGCACTGAATAATTGAATGAGTGTGTAGCATCCTCTATATATGGCTGACATCCTATTTAGATATTGATGTATTAAAGTACTGCAATTTGTTTTTTGTATGCCTCCTTTAGTCTGGAATGGGAGGTGGCATGGAATTGTATAGTTAGATGGATGTGCAATATTCTGTACAAGCTTTGATCTTGTACACAGACTAACTTTTTGTTTGTGTTATGTGGCCCTTCAAAGTTTTTTGTTGTTTTTTCAGGTGGAGTTCAGCTTATCTGCAACAACATGGTTACCAGCACCAGAGCAATTGTGAACACTGCCCGAAGTATGGTCTCTACGATCATGAAGTTCCTTGACTCTGGTCCCAGCAAAACTTCTGATAGCAATTTGAAAGCAAGAGTGCTTGTATCGGAGCCAGACAATGCAGAAGGCATTCACAACTTTGCTCCATTAGGTATATGTAAACTCCAGATATTCTTTTTTTCTTTTTTGTCCAATGAGGGATACAGGAAGTATCCCACTTTTGGGTTATTTTGCTGCCTGCATCAGGGTTGGACATTGGAAAATAAAAACTGTAGGCAAGCCCAGGATAACCCCTTCTATCAGTTTGCCTTACTTTTTTGCTGGTGTACTAGGAGGATAGACATCTCTTCTCCAGCTCTGGTGTTAAGACCCATTTATTTTTTGCTAGCACTTTTTTTATTCTTTTCCCTGAGTCAAGAGCTGATCCCTTCCTTTGCAGCTATCCAGTTCAGTCATTCTTTCGCTGGCATTTGGAGCTCGCTGGACTGGATTTTGCTAGGATATCCTGGAAGGGACGTTCAGGAACTTGGTTCTGCATGGCTTCTCACTTAATTAAAACCTTCGTACACGGGGTCATAAGTTTGTCATATTTTGTATATAAGTGTATTTGATAGAAATTAAAGATGTTCAATTGTAAAGAGATAGCAGATATATTTATTAAATATATAGGCCTTTAAGAAAGCAAACACAGAAAAACATTTACATTTTTTTAGTGGAGCTCATTAAAGCTGAATCCAGAACAGGAAAGCTGCAGTACATTTGCTTATTAAACCTTATCTTAATTTATCGTGACTTCTTCTGTTGTGGTAATGTTTTACCGACTTTAACGTTGCTCTTTTCCTCTAGGTACCATTACATCAAGTAGTCCTACTGCTCAGCCGGCAGAAGTCCTACTTCAGGCGACCCCACCCCATAGGAGAGCACGTTCTGCAGCTTGGTCATATATATTTCTTCCAGAGGAAGCCTGGTGTGATCTTACCATTAATTTACCAGCTGCAGTATTGTTGAAGGAGATACACATCCAGCCTCACCTTGCATCTCTGGCTAGTAAGTATACCTGTCAAAACATTTGGATGTGAAAGATGATTGGAAGTGAAAGTAAAATCATTATCTACTTAGAAACCACTTGCTTGACTGAAAAATGCTCATCAAATATTTCAAATCTACCTTACCAGTGTTGCAGCAATGACTAGCAGGAGTGCCAGGAATTTTTACGTTTGTCCCAAACTTCTGGTGCAAGAGGCACTTGGAGTCTGTTGCATTAGGTGCCGCCTGCGCGACCTCGACTTCTCAAGTACACTGTGCATGTTCGCACCATTTTTTCCTCTCCTTTGTGTACTTCTCCCAGCCCGACACCACTGTTGCTGGACACCACTGATAGCACAGCAAATTCAGGACACCTTCCTGGGCATCAGCTACTTGGAGTGATTGGCACATGAGGTAACTCTAACCCAGCGTGAAGGTCATTGGTACCTCTCTGGGGGATATTTGCATATGGCAGATCTTAGGCGCAAATGTGCTGGGTCAGGGGGCCTAACCAGCTATGTAACAGATTGGCGATACCGTACATAGTCCTTCTGATGCCCAGCTTCAGTGCCGTTTTCAGTGGACGCACTTGCCTCTGTGGGTCAGTTTAGCCAGATGTACAGCTTTTGCTGTCCAAGGCTTCTCCCTTGCCTTTTCTCCAAACTCAAGTCGACATTCCGGTGATTGGACCAGTCTGATCCCGGAGGCCGTCGTACATTCTCAGGCTCCTAGCAAACTCTCCGTGGGTCTTTCCAGGTTCTTTCCTGAATTACTCTTACAGCCCCTGGTGAGAATTTAGTTTTTTTTTTTGCTTACTCTCAGGGTAGCCTTTCTCATAGCCATCAATTCTAGGTGTATTTCAGAATTAAAGGCCTTGACATGCAATGAGCCTTTTCTGGTCATCCATAAGTATAATGTTGTGCTTAGGCCTAGGGCCTCCTTTCTCCCTAGGGTGCTCTTTACCTTCCCTGTTAACCCCTTGCTGCCTGGAGCAATTTCTTACATTTGCACACACCTGATAAAATCTGAATTTTTTGTAGAACATCTTCAGACCCCCAAACAATTATATATTTTCTGAAAGCAGTGGCCCTGTAGAATAAAAAGAGGCTAGTTGCAATTGTTTATGTTGCACGGTATTTGCATAAATGTTTATCAAACAAGTATTTTTAGGATAAAATGCACTAAAATGAAATTTAGTTCACAGAAACAGAATATAATGCCCATTTTTTTTGTAAAATATAAATTGTCTGCTTTTTAAAACGGTACCAAGAACACGGCTGCAGCAGCAGACGTGTTCGTGGTATAACCACTTCCAGCGGATGACATGTATTTACTTGAACCCGCTGGAAGTGGTTAATCAGGACATTGTATTACCATCCTTGTATCCTTCGAAAAACACCCTAAAGAAATTTCCATACACTTTTTAGAGATAATTTCGGTGGTAAAGTTTAGTGCTCTATTCAAATGTCTAAATTATTCCTGCGTGGATAACTGGCTTCCCACTCCACCATTGCTAGATAGATTTGTTGGATCATCTTGAGGTCTATAAGGTGAACGGAAAAGTTGCTCCATTTCCAGGAGGTGTCACTCCCCCAGAAGTGTTGGTTCTTATTGGGCTTTTCAACACAAAACATCTGTCGTCCAAATCTGTAGTGTCGCCACTCCGTGAACAGTTTTTTGTTAAACTCTACCAGGTGGATGTTCAGGCCTCTGGGGATGAGAGTTTGGACCCAAAGATACCTTAGGCCACCCAGGATTCTTCATCCTACCCCTGTTCTAGTTCGCTGTTCCTAGTTTTTCTTCCCTGTTGGGGTGGTGGTGGTGTTGCTTGCCCCTCTGTTGGACTACTTTTTAAACTTTACAGTGGTCTAAGAATCAGCTCCCAGTGTCATGTGAAGTTCATCACAGGGCACAGGACCCTGCCCTCTGTATTTTGTGATCCACTCTGCACTGCTTGCTAAAAAACATAGGCGGGCTGGGAGTGGAATATGTTATACCGGGCTGTCCTGCAGCTTTGATTGCCAGTGTCCTGTGCTCAATCACCTGAAGGTAGCTGCATAACCCAGTGGTTTAAGAATGAATTCCCTCTGTCCTGTAAACCTTTACAGGTAAGCCAATCCTGTTTTTATTCCAGTCTTAGTGACATTAAAGTCAGTTTTTTCCCCCCTTTCCCACTCCTGCTGTAAGGACTTACCTTAAATTATGTCTCTTAATCCGATCATCTACTTTCCTGTAGTTTTTAGCTGTGCCTCCATCGCTGGTGCGGGTCTTAGATCCAGCGCCGACTCCTCTGTCCTCCTCTTCTCTCATGTCCCATGGTGTCTGTGCGGGTGCACGCTGCTCCATATACTTACCTTGTGTCTCTCCTCATCTCCTGGCCGAGCATTTGAACTGCGCATGCGGCCACCAGAGGTTCGCAGATGCTCGGACGTGACCGCGGGGCGGAGACACAGGTAAGTATTAACCCTTTGATAGAATTTTTTATCGTTTTGCATTAATCTACTGTTTGCTAGCTGTAGATATATGCTATACATGTGAGGGTTTTATAACCCTTTAAATCTGTTATCCTCTTCAAACTATCACCTGTATTTGGGCTTAAATAAAATAAATGTCATTTTTTTTGCAATAATGGTTGCATAATTTAAACTAGTGTCTGATATCTTGAAAATGATGTGCTTTTCCACCCTGTTCACTGTTCCTATTTTTAGTGTGTGCGTATGTGTGTCTTGATGGAGTTGATTTAAATTTTTTACTGCCGGAAGTCACTTTTTTTTTTTTTTTCTTCTCCTATCTTGTCCATCTTCAGTTTCTGTGGAAATCAGTGCAGATGGTGTGAACATGTTACCTTTGTCTACACCTATTATCACCAGTGGACTTACCTATATAAAAATTCAGCTTGTTAAAGCAGAAGTGGCCTCAGCAGTTTGCCTGCGACTCCACCGTCCTCGTGATGCCAGCACGCTTGGTCTTTCACAGATAAAATTACTTGGTCTCACGGCTTTTGGAAACACATCCTCCGCAACTGTTAACAACCCGTTCCTTCCTTCTGAGGACCAAGTGTCTAAGACCAGGTATTTAGCCATATGACTAGATTGGTAAAATACAGGTGCTCTGTGACTTAACAAGTCTAACATAAGGTATCATAAGCCTAGAAAAATGTTTGGTCTTTGCCTGATTGGATTCTTTTAAGCATTTCATTAGTTACATTTGTGCACTTGAATAAAAACACAGTCTAAAACATACAGATGCTTAAATTATCACAATTCTACAGGAGACAAGACAAGTTATGCTGGTTCAGCTTGTGAGTGTCTGAGCTGTGGTCTTTGTTAGCTATTTAGTGCCCCTGTGCTACAGACGCACCAATGGACTTATGGGTCCATGTTGTTTGGTAGCATTTCTTCAAAATGCATTTGGGGAACTGGGTGGGCATATAAAACTTGTGATTGACAGCTATATTTGCACAGTCTCTTTCTTTCTGTACATACATAATTGCAGTGCACCCAGTAGAACACACTGATGCTGTTATGTCCATACAGGACTATTTGCATTACTTTTTAAGACATTTATAAAATTAATAATATACCTGTATAAAGGTACCTGCAAATCTTTTATGATTTGATTGTCTTGAATTTGGTTGTTCTGAGATGACAAATATTACCTGAAATGATCTTTTAAAATCATAATGCAGACCTAACCTGGATGCCCATATTATATACCTAGTTAGCACACCCAAAACATTTTATATATTTTTTGGGGGAAGATCCTGGAGAGTTAAATCTCCAGTCACCTATTTCTCAGGGAGATTGGTGGCTTAGTCTGCAGTTCCTTCTCCTTTCTTATGTAATAAAGTAGATGGGAAATCCCAATTGTCAAAAAATATAAATGAATTATATGGCAGGGGTTCCCTAAGATATATAGGAAGTTTGGGGATGCCTCAACTTGCTGGAATGCACCTAATACTGAAACGTTGCTTTTGAGTGAACTGACAAAATTGTTCTATCTTGATTGTTGTCTCCACTTATGTCTCCCAAATACTGTGCATATGCGGATGTCGGCGTGTGCAGTAGGTCAATGATCAGTGTTAAAGCATTTGTTTAACTCTTTTCTGGTTTTATTTTTAGCATTGGCTGGCTAAGACTTTTACACCACTGCTTAACTCATATCAGCGAATTGGAGGCGATGATGGCAAGTGCTGCAGCGCCTACAGCCAACCTTCTGCAGACATGTGCTGCATTGTTGATGTCTCCTTACTGTGGTATGCATTCACCCAACATTGAAGCAGTTTTGGTTAAGATTGGCCTTCAGTCTACTAGGATTGGCTTACGGCTCATTGACATTCTCCTCCGTAACTGTGCAGCATCTGGGAGCGATCCTGCTGGTATGTTCCTAACCCTTACATCCTGTACATAAATGTTTGTTTGATTTGAATGCCTTACAGATTTGTTTTATTTTTTTTTTTGCAGATTTGAATAGCCCTCTTCTTTTTGGTAGACTTAATGGTCTCTCATCAGATTCCACTATAGATATTCTGTATCAGCTGGGTACCACTCAAGACCCTGGAACAAAGGATAGGTATTTCTATTCCTTCCATATTATTATATACTCGTGTGTGTATATGTATGTATGTGGCTAGTATGTTTGGGGATTTCTTGTGCAGTTTTCAGGCCAGAGCTGTACCAGTATTCCTGTCCCTGTCCCTGAAGACTCACTGTTGTGATTACCAACAGGTTTAATGTTGTATTGAAGTTTTTCCTATGTTGGTTCTGAGGCCATGTGTGTGGTATTGCTAGAGAAGCAGCTGTACCTGACAGACTTTTTTGTGAAGAAATTAGTTTCCCGTTTCTTAATCGTACAGTACCGGGCACAGACCTTTTTAGATATAGAAAATAAGTTGTATGCAACTGCCTTCAGGTGATAAGACACTGGCAGAAAAGTTGTTAGAGCAGTCCTTGCAAAACCCACTCCCAGAGAGCCTCTGTTTTATCCTAGTCTATTTAGGTGTTGGATGCATTCTCTCTCCCGAGAGAAGAGAATGGATTTACAACTGCGGAATTTTATCAGAGTTTTTTTTCTATTGAGCTTCTGACTGCACCATAGCCACTGTGGCTGGCACTTTCAGCTTCTGGATCAGGCTGAGCCTTGAGATTTGTACCCGGACCTCACCAGTGTGATTTTATTTATTTTTTTATTTTTTTTATTTTTTTAATGACGCTTAGGGCACTGGATCCTGCAAAACGCGCACACTTTGTGATACAGCCGCCGGGTGCTATACCGTCCAGGGCCATGGTCCAGCAGTCAATGAAACCCTAAAGACCTCCTCAGGGGTATGCCTACAGAGAGTGGCGAAGACAGGATAAGGGTTGCTCTATTCATTCTACGGACTTGTTTGGCCTGTTCCGAGGGTTGTTAAATTAGTCCTTTAAATTGGGACCTGAGGTGCCGCCACTCTCTCCCCCTCACAGGTCACTGGGAGCATGGGCTGCTACATGGCCTGAGTTTGTCGATGTTGCAATGTTTGAGAATGTCCCAGTTTGTTGCACTTTGGTGTGTCACAGCCATGAATGAAGGGCTGCAACATTTGCATGTGTCACACTGTTTGGTGGGAGCGACCATTTTTCAAATTTGGTGCCACTTTCCCAGGTCCTTGTGGGCAGTCATCTTCCACACTCTCTGCGCAGCCCTGGTGGCTTGTATTGCGCATGCCTGCGCCATCTTAGGGACAGATGTCGTCAAGTTTCTGCCTGCACAAAACGGCACAGAACGATCTTAAGACATTTCTTGGGTACCACAACCCTCAGTGCCTTGCATAGGATGGCTTTTATTCCCTTCCTCTCTGCTTAATTAGTCATGAATACCCCTGTAGACCCCTCACTACACTAAAGAGGCAGATCACAGGAGCAAGAGGAATAGGATCAATAGACTTGCTGGCTCACATCCTGTCTCTGGGAGGATTAACAGTGCCTCCCCTGTGGACCCCTATATGGTAAGCATCGATCACTGTCTAAGGACAGAATTACTCCCCTTTTCTGAGCCAACACACACCTAACAACCACCCATTCACCCACTATTTCTCCTTAGCCTAAAACCACTAGCTCAGTCCCCCTAGTGTGTATGTTCCTGGCACTGGAACCTCCTACGTCTTCTAGGCCTAAGGTTACCAACATGGATTCACTGAAATACCCAAGCCTGCTAAGATCTTTACCGTACACTAACTCATGGAGGATGCACTGCATGATGACTGCCCCCCACAAAAAAAAAGGTGGTAACATCATACTATACTGCCCTGCCCTGTAAACAACTTGCCCATCGCTCGAGTTAGGCAGGCCACTCTTGAAGAGTACAATGAAACAGTTCTTAAGGCTACGTAGGCCTGGCAGGGCTGATGTTCCTGCTCCAAAACATGGAGAAATCGTGGGACAGTTTGGTGATGCTCTCCAAAAATGGTTAAAGTTCTTGGACATCTGGTACTCTAGGACAGCCAGAATGCTTCCCCTGCCCTGCCTTCCCTACATTTTCTGCATCTTCTCTGTTTCCTGGTTGGTGAAAGAGGGGAGTTTATAATGAATATAGTACAGGAAGGTTAAAACTGCTCCACCCATCTGTGTTTTCAAAACACAACCCTCATCATTGGGAGAATTGTCGGGGGGCCTGTTCACGCCATATGCAGTGCGTTCCGGCCGGAACGCACTGCATCACATTGCGGCTGGCTCAGTATTTTGTGGGGGCGTGGTTGGCCTTTGAAGTGAATGGCACCGTAGCCATGCTCTCCGGCCGCAATGCGATCGGCTGCACGGGATTGCAAGGCACATTGTGCCCTTCGCTCCCATGCAGGCAATCGCATTGCGGCCAGAGGGCGTGGCTACAGCGCCATTTACTTCAATGGTCTGCCACGCCCCCTCCTGCCCAGGAAAAAAGTGAGCCGGCCGCAATGCAGTGCGTTACGGCTGGAACATGGTAACGCACTGCATATGGTGTGAACAGGTCCTCACTGGTTCAGGCTTGTTTATAATCTAAACAAAATAATTTTATAATCACTGCTGCTCCAGTTTGGGTTTTTTTCTCTACTTCATATGAACATTTGCCTCTATTTTTTTCAGGTTAAGATATTTAGTGGATATGATTGGATTTTTTTTTTTATTGTTACCATGCTACATGTGCGAAAGTATATGCTAATACAATATTTTTTGCCTATGCCTTGCAGAATCCAAGCACTGCTGAAATGGGTGAGTGACTCTGCTAGAGTGGCTTCACATAAAAGGAGTGGTCGTAGCAGCTTAATTCCGCCAAACAGCTCTTCTAGAGAATTTGGTCTTCTTATGCCATCCCCCTCTCATTTGCACTGTGTAGCGGCCATTTTGTGGCACAGCTATGAGCTTCCTGTGGAATATGACCTGCCTGGGTTGCTTAATCGAGAACTGTTCGAGTAAGTATATAGCTCTCAAAATATCATGTATGTGTGTATATTGAAATGGAGAAATGTGTAGGATTGTAGAGATTTAATGCAAGCACGTATAAAGCAGAGACATGGCCTTACTGCTGCCATATTGCTGTTTAAAAAAAAAAAAAATCATATATTTATAAAGTGCATGGGTATGGGTATGCAATGGAAGATAAGTAAAAAAGAACCAGGAAGAGAGCCCAGGCATGGCCTGTATTTCATGTAAATGCCTCTCCTCCAATCAGTGTTTTCTCGGCTGAATTAAGCAGAGAGCTGGTTAGAATTTTGAATTAGTTGCAGGGTATAACAGAGAGCAGATAGTTATCTCCGATTTGCATTATAAATATATATGTATATACAGTGGGGGGGGGGGGATATATCAAGACGAGCAGACAAAATCTGGAGCTGTTGCCCAGCATCTCTTTTCAGTTTGCTCAGGTGAGATTTGAAAATGAGAGAGAGAGAAGCTGATTGGTTTCAGTGCAAATCTGCTCCAGTTTTAATAAATTCCCCCCAGTTTGTGTGCAGGGGTGTGGAGATTTAAAAAAACAAACAAACAAACACTTGTCCGAGGTCTAAAGCGTGGGCCCAATCTACTTGTCCCTTATGACAATCTGCTTGTTTTGATAAAATAAGTTTAACCAAAACCACATTTAACCATGCTAAGAAACTCGGTCAGCATGGTCAGGTTCACCAAAAGGTAAGTATAGCCGGGTGGGGGGTGGGGGCCAGATTTGAGCAGGTAATTCAATTTTCCTAAATTACTTGGGAAAGTGTACTTACCCTTTTAATGCACATGGTGCGTGTTAGAGAGCGCTGCTGCTCGGCTACAACAATATGGCACACAGTGGTATAGGAGCAGCACTCGGAGGACGGACACCATTCGCATGCCAGATGGCAGGGTTTTTTTTTTTTTACTTTATAGCCCCCCTTTTTATTGCTATCATACAGGGCCTAACAAGCCCCTATGTGATGGAGTTTGGAAGTGACAGGTCTTCTTTATGGACGCTGCCCTCCTGTACAGAAGATTGACCAAAGTTGGGTTCGATCTCTTGTTCAGCCCAACTTGTTGCTGAGAGTACAGCGCTCCTGTCTCGCTGATCACACAGAGCAGATCGGAGATGGACATTTTCTAGTCTGCTCCCCGCTTTACATCCAGAAGTAATTTGCTGTGGTCCTGGGTCCCCCAGAAGAGCGGTGAACAGCCTCCCAGATCATTTGTACAAAATGACGTGATGGCTCCCCTGCTGCAGGCAAGCAGGGGGCTAAATGTAGAAAGAAAACATTTGTATGTCATGTCATGGGCGTCAGCCAATAGGAATTGTGCACCCCTGGTGTGGATGTTTTGTGTGTATATTTGTGTATATGTGTATATATTTATATAATATATATACAGGTGAAACTCGAATAATTAGAATATCGTGCAAAAGTAATTGCAGTAATTGCTGCAAAAGGGGCGCAAACCAAGTACTGAGTACATATGCATGCTTGTACTTTTCAGAGGTCCGATATTGTTCTATGTACAATCCTTGTTTTATTGATTGCATGTAATCTACTTTTTTGAGGTTGTGGATTTGGGGTTCTTGGGGTTTTCATGAGCTGTAAGCCATAATCATCACAATTATGACAAATCACGGCTTGACATATCTTGCTTTGCATGTAATGAGTCCATCTCATATATTAGTTTCACCTTTTAAGTTGCATTAGTGAAATAAATGAACTTTGCACGATATTCTAATTCGAGTTTCACCTGTATATCACGCCTCATATTTGGTCGTTTGCCCAGGTTTCTGCTTCATGTGAACTGCTTTACTCCTGCTATAATTTTTGAATTTGTAGAATTAAAAAAATTGAAATACTGAAATTGTGCTGTTAATTGTATTGTCTCAATTTTGTAATTCGCTGTGCAAACTGGCGCTATATAAATCCTGTATAATAATGTGCGGTAAATGCAAGTATTTTTATAGTTTCTAACACATTGTGTTATCTATTTTAGGTCCTTGTATAACTGGTCTATGTCTTTAGCCTGCAACATGGTATTAAAGAAAGCTGTTGATGGTCTTCTATGCTCTATGTGTCATATTCACCCGAATTACTTTTCACTGCTCATGGGCTGGATGGGAATTACCCCTCCCCCCATACAGAGCCAGAATAGACTGTCTATTACAGATGACAGCAAAAAGCAAGATCTTAATGCTGCTCTCACAGATGACTCTAAAAATGCACAAGCACCTCTCACACTTACGGAGTCACATCTGGCCACACTTGCTGCTGCATCCCAGTCTCCTGAAGCCATCAAGCAACTGCTGGACTCTGGTTTACCATCACTTCTTGTTCGAAGCCTGGTGAACTTTTGTTTTACGCACATATCTAGTTCAGACTGCGCTGCTTCCTCTACTGATGCCACACAAGAGAGACTGCGGCGACCACATTTATCCCAGCACTTTAGTAGGATGCCTGTAACTGCAGACTTGGTGGCACCAATTCTCAGGTTTCTGACTGAAGTTGGCAATAGCCATGTTATGAAGGATTGGCTAGGGGGAGCCGAAGTTAACCCCTTGTGGACAGCACTTTTATTTTTACTTTGCCATTCTGGTGCAAGTTCTTCAGGTCATGTGAACGGATCTCAGCAGACCAATGCAAGGTGCACTTTACTGACTTCCACAGCAGGGAATGGTCTAACTACGCAGCAAAGAACTGCCGTGGAAAATGCAACTGTGGCCTTTTTCTTGCAGTGCATATCTTGCCATCCAAACAACCAGAGATTAATGGCACAGGTAGGACTGAATTGTTTTAAACTTTGTGTGTAGTGTGTTTAGCTGCAGACAGGATATGCTGCAAAATCGTTTGTCAAACCAAGAACTTTTTTGTGTGGGAAGGATTAAAACTCCTGTTCTCGCTGGGGATCTAGCATTTCTCCTGCATTACTAATGAAATGTAATGTATAAATAGCATTTTCTTTCTTTCTTTGCTGCTGTTGGAGAGTTCACCTCACTTCCTGTCTAGTAAAATGTTATCAGCAGTTAATGAAAGTAGGTCTTTCTAATGGACACCCAGATAGCAGTAAACATCTAGCGAAAGTAACCCTTTTCTACTCCAAAACTAAGAAAAATGTTTTAGCTGGACATGGGTTTTCATTTTAGAAAAATAAGAATGAAGTTTCGCCTGTATTGGTATAGTTAACCGCAAAACGCCTGTAATTTCCTTAGCATGTCCTTGACTGGTATGTCAGTACCATGAAATTATTGAAAAGGGAAAGTTTTATTCTGCTGATCAGCAAGTATTAGAACTAAGCTGATCTTGGTTTACCTGTAAGCTGATATATATACATATATATTTTCTCTGTATAATTCAGTATGTTATTAGTGTAGTAAAAGGATAAAACGTCCATAGGGGCTGTATTACATTAATAAAATAAGATTCAATTTCAAATTTACACTTTATAATGTTTTCGTTTAGTACGTCATTTGTGAGAATAACTGCTTATTGCCTTGCCATTATATAGGTCCTTTGTGAGTTGTTCCAATCATCTCCACAGCGTGGAAATCTCCCATCATCAGGCAATATCTCTGGTTTCATCCGAAGACTCTTTCTACAGTTAATGCTAGAGGATGAAAAAGTAACCATGTTCCTCCAGTCTCCTTGTCCTGTAAGTATATGTCAATAAATAAGACCTTGCTACATTGCCTTAAGTGAACATGTTGTTGGGATACCAAGAATCTTGCAAACTTGAAATACTGCCAATACAGAGCTAGTGTTGTTAAAGTTAACCCACCCCACATTTATTACATCTGCAGAGTTGATAAATGTGCAGTAGCCACACATTTCAAAGACGCCTGTCTTGTCCAAACCAAGTAAATGGTTACAGTGAAGGTAATTACATGGTTTAGGATGCTTAAGGGTCCAGGGATATAGTTCTGTAACAAGGGGAAAAAATTGGCCAAAAAGTGGCAACTGTCCTGTCACTTTGATTCCACTGCAGTGGATGGGCGAAGACGCAGGAGCTATTCATTCAATCTCTGCTTACGTCCCTATCCCCCAGTCCATACTAACAGTTCTTCTGTCCATGCTCAGTAGACTGTGCTGCACTTCAAGCTCTAAATACATTCCCTTTGTCTTGTTTCAAATCAAATGCTTAGAGGTTGTTTTTTTTTTTTACATTGCAAGCAATGCAACTTAATCTAATCTAGAGTGCTAATAGGCCTGAGATTTTCTTTATGGGTGAAATGCTTTAATTTTTGTATTTCAAATGTCTTTTTTAGAATACCTATGATGTGGAGGAGGTTAAAATGTTTTTTTGTGTTTTTTTTTTTTTTCTGTCTAGCAGGATTACACTTTTTTACAAAGCTGAAAATAAGATGCATTGATTTCAGTGTTGTAGATGAGGCATATACAGTATGAGCAAAATGTCCTGTGTTTCTTGGCTCCTCCTGTCCAGCAGATGGCAGAATAGACTTGCATTAGACCACATTCAGTCTGTTAACACAAAACGTTGTGGATACAGACCTTGACATAGGCTACGTACACACTTGCCACTTGTGTTAAATGACATGTGTGACAAGTGCATTTAGATGCATCTATACCAAGTCCTAGCATCAAATCGTGTTTACATGCGTTTAGAAGTTCAAATTGATAGATGCACCTGACTATTTTTTTGAAAATGCAGATAAAAGCATCTAAACGCCATGTGATAATCCTTTGGAAATCATTAGATTCTTATATGTGTGTTTAGAAAAGCTTTTTAAACTCAAACGCATCTAATCGAAAATAGTGTGAATGTAGCTTTACAAATAAAAACACAACCAGTTTACAGGTAAAGCTTCATGAAACTTTATGTAATACATATGCAGTAATGATACAGTGCTTATGTGCTACTACTGTAGAAGTGAGAAAATGTTTCCATTAATTTTGTGCAGCAGGAAAGTGGTAAAGTGTGTGTATGTATATATATATGTGTGTGTGTGTGTGTGTGTGTATCATAGTTGAGGTCTACCTATGATGCCAATTACAGGCCTCTCATCTTTTTAAGTGGGAGAACTTGCACAATTGGTGGCTGACTAAATACTTTTTTGCCCCACTGTATATATATTATATATATATATGCACGCACAATTAGTTTAAAAAAATAAAATTTCAGACTTGTGTAGCTTGACTCCTACTTAGTAAAATGACTGAATATAATTGATCACACATTTTGCAAAACTTAGACCAGTAATGGCCTTACTTGGTTTCATCCTCCATACTTTCAGAAAGAAAAGCATGTGCGACATACATGGCAAATCATTACATAATGGGAAATATGACTGTATAGAAGCCACATCTATATGAATAATCTTGTTATTTGTTTCAGTTGTACAAAGGCAGAATCAATGCTACAAGTCACATCATTCAACATCCAATGTATGGAGCAGGTCACAAATTTCGTACTCTACACTTGCCCATTTCTACCACATTGGCAGAGCTACTGGACCGTGTCTCAGGCAAGAAATCTTAAACTGTTTTTTAGAATTCTATCAACTTTTCAAAGCCTCACATTTCCTACTTGGTAGTGTAGAATTGTACTTTATTTCCTCAGTAGATTATTTTTGCTAAATTCACATAGCCTGATTAAGATGAGATGCTGTAGCAGTGGTAATAATTACTGTATATGCTGAATAGTATTTAGAAAATCATGTACAAACTGCTAGCTGCTTCTGAACTGATGTTCTAAAATAATGGCCATGTGCATTCAAAAGGTAACAGCTTTTTCTGTTAAAATACACTGCTTCTT